ATTAACCACGTCAAAGGCAAACACATTGCTATCCAATGCATAAAGGATCCAGTTTACCGTTTTTATGCGGCATACCCTTTCTGAAAATCCAATACATAAAGGATCTAGTTTCCAGTTTTTATACGGCCTACTCTTTCTAAAAATAAAATGGATGGTCAAGATAATGTGTTGCAAGATGCAGTATTTTTTGGACTCAATTTTTTTTTTTTTATATAAATTCATATATCTAGATGTCGAGATGATCAATTAGAGGTCGTTTGGATACCTGAAAATATATTGACTGTGAAATCTATTACTTGCGTAATACATTACCTGCAAATGGATTGTCACTGTTTGGGTAGTATTTAGATGCAACCTGGGAAATACATTGTTACTATTTGGCTATGTCAAGAAGAAAAATGGAAAATGCATTACCAATACTTTTTGTTTTCTTTTTTGGCTTTATACCCAAAACATGGTTGAGCGTACAATCCCGATTAGTATATAGGTTAAACTTTATCCTTATTAGTATGTAGCTTAAACTTTATAATTGCATCAGGCATAAGAATTAGCCACACCTTTTGTATGCCTTTGCGTCTTGACTTGGAATCACATGCTTTGAATATGTGAACACTTTGGAATAACATACTTTTATTATGATAAGCCATCATATTTTTTATGTTTTCTTTTCTTGTGCTAAAGCCTTTCGATTATCTCCCACCATAAAACTTTCATGGGCAAATTCAAAAGAAAAAAAAAAAGGTTTGGAGAAATTTGGCTAGTAATCTCTAGAAAGCTTTATGACTAGATGAGATGTATTGGAGGAGAAATTATATTGGGGCAATGGAGGAGAGTGAAGAGGTAAATTAATTCAAGCATATTGATTTGACGATTCTCTGTGAGTGAACTCAAGTATTTCAAATTTATCAGCAAACAATAGTAGCAAAAGAAAAAATAACACCAAAAAAATAAACACACTGATCTTAGCAGAGAACCTAATCTGTTTATTTTTGAAACAATAGACTGTAGTTACATAACCCAAAAAAAATAAATCTTGGGTATTTAGAAATAAACAATAGCTACAACTGCAGTTGCAGAAGATGGGGCTGCCAGGTTTTAGCTTCTAGTTGAAGAAGATGGGTTGACGGGTTTTAGCTACTAATTGAAGAAGATGGGGCCGCTGTGTGATTTGATTCGGTTTGCAAAGGAGCTCTTGGTTGGATTAGATGGGGCTACCGCGTTTTGATTTGCTTTGCAAAGGGAGCTATTGGTAAGAGAAGATGGGGTTAGGGCGTTTTACTTGCTAGTCTTTTTATTGTGGTTTATTAGAAAGTGAAACTGGATTTTTGGGAGGTAGACATCCGTAAGATTTCCCCGATTACCCATTAAGCGCATAATAGATTTTTCGTAATAGATTTCGGGAAATCTCGGGTAATCTTTTTCCATTTTCTGACTATTAAAGTGTACCAAAATGTCATATTCGTGTAATCTATTGTCATGTAATAGATTTCCTGGTTCCCAAACGGCCCCTTAGAGGGTTTTTCAACCTTAAAACAAGGTATGATTCCCTCAGCTTTCCCATCAGGTTGTGATTATAGTGTATCGCACCTTTTTTTATGCAGATGATCTAGTTATTTTTGTGGGGTTCACATAATTTTGCTCGTGCTGTGTATTCTATATTGAGGAATTTTGAAAGGGCCACGGGGCTGAAACTCAATGTTGCCAAGAGCAAGGCATTCTTTTTTGGGGTAACACAAAATGACAAACTCACTATTTTAAGAATTTTGGGTTTTGGTGTAGGCTCTCTACCAATCCGTTATCTGGGATTGCCATTATTTCATGGGAGTTTAAAGCATAATCATTGTAATAGCTTGGTGGAAAAAATCATAGGCAAGATTGGGACTTGCCAAGCCCTGTCACTCTCTTAGGCAGGTCGTTTACAGCAATTGAAATATGTTCTTAGCTCCTCAGCAATTTTTTGGATTCTATGTTTTATTTTTCCTAAGTGTACATCAATGCGGTAGAGAAGTTGCAACGCAATTTACTATGGGTCAGATCAGTTGGGAAGAAAGGAGTCCACTTGGTGAAATGGAAGAATGTTTGTTTGCCTACCATAGAGGATGGACTTGGGATTCGTGATATATCATGATTTAATATTGCGGGAATGATGAAACTATCGTGGAGAGTAGTCACCAACGCTTCGCGTTTCTTCAAGCACATATACTGTAAAGACTCATCCATTTGGGTGATCGGGAGGAGGAATTGCTCTTATGCATGGAAGAGCATCCAATTGTGTTTGTCTTATATTCGAAATAATGTCAAATGGACCATCGGGGATGGTTGTTTGGTGGATTTCTGAGCAGACTCGTGGCTTTCTGAGTAGATTCGTGGCTTTCTGAACAATCTATCTAGGAATCTTATAGAGATCAAATAAATAGGGATCTGGGTGTTCTTGCCAAGCCAAAAGTGGTAGACTATTTGCAAGTCTTTTCTCAAGAATGGAGCCTTGCCACTCCTACATCTGGCCCTCTCAGTCGAGTTTGGAATGAAATTGCGACATTCGCACTCTGTCTATGCTCTCGGAGAGATTTATTGGTTTGGAGTTTCTCCTCTATTAAAGATGCTTGGGATCATATTTGACGACGGGGCCCTCCACAACCGATATTTAAGGCTATATGGGCTTCGCATTGCTATCCCAAAGCAAAATGGCTTTCTTAGTTAGCTCTCCATTAGCACCTTCCCACTTCCTATTTATTACAACAGAGAGAGAAATTATCACGGCACAAGTATGTCCCTTCTGCCAATCTAACGATGATAATATTTGCCACCTATTATTTCATTGTTCATTCTTATAAGGTATTTAGAGATCCCTTGCATCGAGGTGTGGCAAACGTTTTCATGGCTCAATCCAACCCATTGCATCTATATTGAGGACTTGGATTTCCTACAGGTTCAAATCAATGGGATTCCTTAACACACGGCATTCTCTTTTCTTCATCACTATTTGGATGCATTGGGAGGAGCGCAATCATCAATTTTTTAGGGAAAGGTTTCCAAACACAACTTGTCAGGAGGATTACTCTGCATGTTACAGAGATGGCAGATGTTAAGGCTTGGACCTTTCACATATCTGAAATGACATGGTAGATAATCTTCATATCAAATGGCATAAAAAAAAATGAAATCCTCTATTCCGATTGTATGGTCCTTCCCTCATCCAGGTTATTTCAAACTCAATATTGATGGAGCTTCTTCACATTGTTGAAGCCAACTGCAGATAGAGACTTACTAGGCGTGCGTGGCACATCACATATCTACCATGTACCGTGAGGCCAATACGGTGGCCCACTCTCGCTAAACAGGCCACGGTTTTTTCTGATGCTACCCATTGGCATGCTAGAAAACTTGATTAGGGCAAGCTTTCTATGCTTCCCCTACAGCATAGAAGTTCCATCCTCTCCCTTATCTAACCGTCCATTTTGAATGGAGGGCTAAGATTGCCCCAATCACAATATCATGTCTCTAAACTATTTTATTTTTAATTTTTTTTATATAAACTATTTTGACACTAAATTTTGCATGTCCATTCCTCTATTTAAACTCGCACTAGCGAAAAATATAAAAACAAATATTTTCAATAAAATAAAATGACCAAAATACCTTTGAAAGTTTCAATTCGTCATTATATTTTATAGAAAAATTATTTCTAATATTTTTTATAGGTGCGCCCCAATGAGAAGATGACCCGTACCAAATTTCATATTCATGCAATTTGTATAAAAAAAAACTAAAAATAAAATACTTTGAAACGTCGAATCTAGGATCAAACGGCGAGTGACTCTCTTGATCAAAATTGAACGGCTGGATGGTAAAAGGATGATAGAACTTCTATGCTGTAGGGAAAGCATAGAAACCTTTCCCTCCTTATTGTATTTCCTTTTTTTTACCCTACTTCATATAAACATTTCCCTCCTTATCGTATTTTCCTCTTTTTACCCTTCGTACCCTATTGTATTTCCCTCTTTTTATCCTATTGTAGGGTTGTAAGTTTATGAGTTGTACTCTTTTTCTATTATCATTTACTGAAAAATGGGTAGAGGGCCATCTCCCCCACTAGCGTACCCAAAAAAAAAACAACCTTTTGCAATGGATTTTTGGGGTGCATCTTTGATTCTACATTTTAAGGTTGCAACGTTTTAGAAACTTTTTCCATATATAAAGGATACCTTTTTTTAAAATAAAATCAAGCCTCACCTCCAATCCTCATCCATAATGCACTGTAGGCAAAAGAAATATCAGAAATATTAATGATGGCTCTAAAATCAATTTTCATCACTAACTATAAAATTTAAGAGAAAAAATTTATATAAAGCGGAGGCTCTAGACAATCAAAATCAGAGCCTACCTCAAAAATCTCTCTAGAAGAGATTATTTTGATGCACAAATATACTCAAAATGATCATATCCATAGGGACATGAAAAAATAGATTTCAAGTTTTGGAAAGTGTGCGTCTTGTAACACATTTTTTGACCGCCAATTTTTGAAATTTTCAAGTTTTTATAAATCTATTCAACCTGTACTATTTTTGAAGCTTTAAATTTTATAATAAAAAATAAAAATATATTTTAAGACTATCTTTAAATTTTATAATAAAAAATAAAAATATATTTTAAGACTATCACAAAGACTTCCAATATTGGAACTACATCTCTAGATACTATTTGAAGGAGCCCTTTATTTTTGATGGTTTAGAGCCTCAACTCTATGCAAACCACACCCAAAATTTAACTCTAAGAAAAAACACAAATCTTGTGGATCTATGAATATTTATTTTCAAGGTGAATGGAAGGTCTAGGTAATATGTTACAATATGCATTATTTTTTGGGCTTGAAATCATATTTTTTTCTCAATTCCGATTTAATCGATTAGGTGTTACTTATTTAAAAAAAAATTAATATATATATATATATATATATATATATAAAATGAAGAAAAAAAGAGGGGCAAAAACACCACTAATTGAGAAGGTGTAATATATTCATAAATAATGAGATTTTCCTATATTTGAAGGCCAAAAAAAATATACACCATTACCTATTACAGAGTTGCAGGCTGAGTGGTTTTATACACAAACCCTAGAAGAGCAGTTCAAAGTGAAAAAGGGCCCCAAATGCCCTTCAAAAAACAACGAAGGGCAGAGGCATCAGCCCCTCAAAAAACCACCCAAAAACACACAACACAGACACAAAATGAAAGATGAAAGAGAACAGCAGCTCATACACAGAGAGCTTCATAGGAAATCAGAAACCAATGGCCCCCCGTTTAGAGAGAGAGAGTCACCACCGATAACGCCGGAGGGAGGCTGGGGACGACGAAAACCATGAGAAGAGCTCCCCGGATACTTGTCTCTCTTTTGCCGTCACCCTTTGTCTTTCATCAGAACCCAAGCCGACTACCGGACACCTGCAAACAGGGCAATCCCCTCTCTGTCGGTAAAACCAGGCATCAGAGCACTTTCTATGGAACAAATGCCCACACCAGAGCCTCCTCACCTCCTCCCCCTCCCTTAAATTCAACAAACAAACAGCACAATCTCTCTCTCTCTCTTCGCCATCTTTCGCATCTCCTCGATAATACAAGAAGGCCCTGCTCTTGCTGCTCTGCAATTGCTCTGCCAACACGATCAACGCAGCCAGACCCGAGCCCACCCCCTCAAATCCACTCACCTCTTCTCCCTCTCCTCCTCCTCTCTCATGAAACCCTAACCCTAAGCTCAGGATCCGGAGGAGATTGCAGAGGAGGTGCCGAAAGTATGAGAGAGAGTGAGCGGCCGTGGCCATGATCAGTATGGGGATCGATTCAGATGATAGATCGTCGATACCACCTGATATTCCCATCTTTTTCTCGCTCTTCTATTTACCTTTCCCTTTCACTTTCTCTCTCTAGGATGATGCACCTGTTTACACCTAAAATTGGTCTGCTAATCTCCACTTTCTCTCTCTAAGATCCACTTTCTCTCTCTAACTATAACTTGGGGATTGGGTTTTGGGGTGTTTGCAGAGAGTAAGTCTCGCACTTGGTAGACAAGGGTTTCATGTGCCATATAAATGGGAGAAAGCGTACGTTTAAAGCCGTAAGTTTACCAAAATACCCTGGCTATTTGGCCTTTTAACAAGTTTACTCTCGATCACCATTCCAATGAAAAATGACAGGTTGGAGCTATGCAAATTTGCGTTTGTGGCATTCATTGTCTTTGTTTTGGCATTTTGCCTACGTAGGTTAGCAACTGCCCCAAGCCCGAATCGTAAGCAGTGATACCGAGGATCAACATAATCTACACCGGTGTAAGAAAAATCGAATCGGAATGATTAACTGGACATTAGCCTTTAAGAACTCAACCGGCCAAACTAGGCAAGTTTTAAAAAGGCAATAAATACATCTTTTATGCTTAGGGGTATTTTTGAAAAAAAAATTAAAAAATAAGAAATGGTAAAAATAAATATTAATGGTCAAAACAATTTTCAATCTTTATCAAAATGATGAAAAACATTCAAAAAATACATTATAAATAAAATCCCTTATTTTTGGGATTTTATATAATTTTTTTGAATTTTTTTTAAATACCCAACTGGTTGAAATCGAAACCGGCCACTAATCGAGTCGAACCGGGAGGTTAAAGTTTGAAACGCCCAATTTTTCCTACACTGATCTCGACATAATATTGAAACAGATATATATTGAAACTAATATATGGAAAACCTTTATATATAATTATGTCCTTATGTATTGAAGTAAGGTTGCAATAATCTATGGTCTCTTTGCAATAATCTAGGGTCTCTTTTTGGGATAGTTCTAGACGTTTTTTTTTTTATCATATATAGACTTCAAGATGGACCGACATATGATATAGTCTTAAAAGACGTGATAAATTTATACTGTCAAATAAAAATAGATGTAAAACACCGTAACCGTACTTCCACAAATTTAGATTACCACCTGATACAAATCCTATCCTTCATCATTAGCATAAGAATGGCTTTTTCTCAAATATTTAGGATCGGCGGCGTTGTGTTAGATAAGAAACCAATATAAAACTTTGTCAAAACTTTCCATGAATACAAACCTAACTTTTGATATATAAAACTCAATACATCCACTAAATAAAATTTTAACCATTTATTGTACCCATTATATGACTTGGTGCTTGGATTTTGCATAGTATATATTGTGGTAATTGACAGTCCAAAAATGCCTTATAAAATACGCTATTTTCAAAACTTGAAATCTAATTTTTTTATATCCATGCATCTTGATGTGGAGATGATCAATTTGAGGATATTTGGGCATCAATACAACCTCTTCTAGTGAAATTTTTGAGGTAAGCTCTAATTTGATTGTTTACAACCTCACCTCTATATAAACTTTTCCCATTTGATATTAATATATTCTAGATTGTGTTATTTTCTTAACTGTTTAATATGTACTTTGTGTTATGTATGACATTCTTTAGGGGAGAATGATGCAGACGAAAATCTAGTAGTTACAAATTTTAAATTTATTTTTATTAGTTTTATTTTTAGAGATTGGCTAGATCTTTTATTTTTATTTATTAAGATAAATGTTTAGAAATAGGATTTTTGGGTTAGTTCGATAAAATCTATTTATTTTAAGTGGGTAGAAGTACAAGTATTTTTTCAGATCCGATCTTGTGCATGGTTTTTTTTTTGAGAAAAATTGGAGGTTATCGATATTAGCTCAAAATTTATCTCTACGGTTTTTATCTTTTCGTGGAGAAGATCCTTATCTCTTCATTAGTTGGGGGCTACAAGGTGTATCTCTACGGTTTTTGTCTTTACGTGAGATAGTGAAATATGGATAGAGGTGGCCTTTAAATCACGTGAAGTGCAAAGGAATAAAAGTTAGTTTATTTAGCAAGTTACTATTTAGTAGATGAGAAAAAAAAGAATAGCTATCTTTTTAAGGAAAATAGGAAATTTTTTTTTTTTTTAAGGAAGAGTACATTTTTTTAGGAGGTTTGGAATAGAACCTTTTTATAAAGAGGTATTGAATTTTATGGAATAAAGAAAGTATAGATGCTATTTTGTGGGTGTTGTTTCTTCTTTCGAGTTTGGTATGTGCCGAAATACTCGTATCCATGTGTTTTGTTCTTTTTTCTTATAATTTTTTTCACGATTTTTATTCTTCTTTCTTATAATTTCTCTCAAGATTTTTATTTCCCTCTAAAACACAATTAATTTGTCGGGTGGTATTTGCTGATAAATTTTATACTACGTCAAGTGAAACAAACCTCGACAAACTACAGTTGGGCAAACCCTTTTAAACCTTTTCACTCAAAAACGCAGTCGAACAAACCCTTTTAAACCTTTCCACCTCGACAATTATGTAAGGTGAAACAAACCTCGACAAAAACATTGCCGAACAAACCATCTTAAACATGCTCTCCCAAACGGCACCACGGCCGATCTCTTATATTCATTCCATAACTAGACCAATGTCTAGAAAGATAACTTTGAGAGCAAGAGACTTTATCTTACTAAAAAGGGAACAATCCAAAATATTTATAGAAACCACTTTTCTAAAAAAAAAAAAAGCAAACCTCTCAAACAAATCTTAGGGCATAAAAATTGTAGATTTTATTTATTCTAATCCGTTAGTTAATGTAAACTCCTCTTGTTCTCTCTCTTCATGTTTCCCCTCTCTCTTCTCCCTCCCTGCACCCCTCCATGTTTTCCATTTCTCTCCCCTCTCTCTTTCCTCCCAAATACATAGTATATAGAGAGACACCTCAATCTTCTCACTCCCTCCTCCCGTTCTCTCTCTGCATGTTTCTCATCTCTTCTCTCTCTCCTCCCTCCCCACGCCCCTTCTCTCTATTCCTCTTTTCCATCTCTCTCCTCTCACTCTCTCTCCTCCTATTTTCTCTCTCCATGTTTCCCATTCTCTCTCTCCGTCTTTCCAATCTCTCCCCTCACTCTCTCTTTCTGTTGTTCTCTCTCTCCATATTTCATCCTCTCATTCTCTCTCTTCATGTTTCCCATCTCTCTCCTCCCATTCTATCTCTCCATGTTTCCCATCTCTCTCCTCCCAACCCTCACTCTCTTCTCCTGCTCCCTCTCACTCTCTCCTCCTCCCGAAATACACAATATATAAGAAACAAATCTCTCAATCTCTAGCAATCTACATGAGGCATCATTACATCCTCCGAAAATATACAGTATATAAAAAACAAGCCTCTCAATCTCCAGCAGTTTACATGAGGCATCATCACAATGTTTCTCTCCATATGAAGTTCTTTTCTCTAAGAGAAAATTGCATCTTATGCACAGGAGGCTCTGTATTCCGCTCTCTAGAGGAATCATTATTTTCATATGGTATCACAAATAGGGCACACAAATTTTCTACACTTTCATTTTATATATATAAAGGTTAGGAATTACACCAAATAGGAAACTTCCTATATATGTTACCTATATCTCGAAAACCAAGAGACATATCCAAGAGTTCTAATTTTGTTGGATTTCTATTTCATTTAGAAAACTTATCAATATCAATCTTAATCCCACAAGAAATATCTCAATCCCACATAATATGGGAATATTTCAATCCCACATAATATAAGAAATATCTTAATCCCACATAATATCAAAATATCCCAATCCATATAATATGGGATTTTCATATGTGGGTGATTTTGGATAGCACCAAATCCAACAATCTCCACCTTGATATCAAAATCATTTGCTCACATGCCAACATTCATTGATAGCTTTATGGATTCTTTATCTTTTGCCAAATAAAATTTTTCATCATTCTTTGCTGAAAAATAATATTCTACCTCAAACATTTCATTCGAAGCCTTTATTGCCATACCGAAAACCTCGAACCAGGCTCTGATACCATGTAGAATTTGCAACGAAGGAAGATATAGAGAAAGATTAACACGAGATATACGTGCTTCACCCCAGATGGGCTCATCCCCTCAAGAATGAATGAAAAAATTTGAACCTATGGAGATCCTAAGAGGCCCACTTAGGCCACTTTACTTCTTGGTAAACTCACCTATTTGGGATGAAGGGCTGAGCCTAGAACAATCAATTGCATAAGTCTCTAAGATTGATCTAGCAATCAACACCGAAGAAGCGAGGGATCAAAATTTGATCATTCATGAAGATTCAACACCTGTACAAAAGTTAAAAGAAATCAAACCCCTAGAATTTCTAAGGGGACCACCTAGACCACTTTCATAAGATGTTCTGAATAACCCGTCTATATAGGATGAAGAAACAGACATTGAATATCAAATCAGGTTATTCCCTCAAGGAAAAAGATCTCAAGAAGGAGACCCTACAGGGGCAGCCCTGCCAAACTACTTGATGAGAGTACCCTCACTTGATGATGAAAATAAAGCAAGGACAATCGGTGAGGCCCACGCATTATCCCACAACTCCCAATGCCTTGAGGAAAGGCGTGGGGTGATCACTTACTCATCCCTTTTAAATAATTGAAGTGCGGCATCAATGCTCTTCTTAGGCATTCTACTATGTGGTATTGACAACATAAGGACGTGAAAAAAAAAAAACAGAGCTTCGCCAACCCAACAAGATATTGAAGGATTAGGAAGCTGAAATTGACTCCGAATATGAAGATCAAAGCTCGAGTGAAGCGATTCAAGGAGCAAAGACTCTAAAAGAATTCGATAGCCGCTGTCGAGGAAGTATCGAATATCAACTAGGGACAAGGAAAATCTAAGGATAACCAAGACTATGACCTCTTTGCCACTTGAAAGAAGGAAGGATGATCGAGCTTTTATCGATTTTCTAGGACAAAGTGCAAAAAAAAAAAATGCCATCGACTCTTCACCTTCTCCTCCTTTTTCTTCATCATCTTCTTCTTCAAAAAAAAAAAGGAAATTCCGTCGAGATGAACAATTGAAAGGAATCTCGAGTGCTGGAAAAAAAGCCATTGGGTTGAACACCTGAAAGGGAATCTAGGCGCAAAAAAAAATAAAAATAAATAAATAATATGTGGGGCCAAAATCTTAAAGGAAACTCGAGCGTTGGAAAAAAAGTTAT